TTATGATCTAAACGTATTTTGTGAATTATTTGACTAAGTAAAAATGTGATAGGCCTAGTGAGACTCAGGTTGAAAACAAACATTTATTGAAAACAAAACTCCTCTCGATATACATGTAATAATCATTTATAACAAACACTATGACATTAACATAAGACAAAAAATAGCATCACAACAAGAAACTACAGTCTAATATCAGTGATCAGTTGGACAAGTTCCCAGTGATATTCCATCCTGAGTTGTCATACGATCATGATCAGTTGTGGTCATCCTCTCAGAAATGTGCAGGTTTGCAGGTGTGAAGGTCAAGACAGGTGTCGAAGCAACATTTCTGGTTGAAGGGGCAGTGTCCATCATGGGGGCACACCTGGGAGAGAAAGAGTTAAATGTTGTCTTGTTCTTAGGAAAATACTTGATTTTCACCCGAGTTTGTTAGTTGAAATCTTAACAACGGCAAGTTTATCATTGAAGCGGCAATTCACCAGTACACTAACAGTCTACAAAAAATGTAATTAAAGTTAACTTTCAGTGTATAAACACCAGTGTACATATGATAACACATCAAATTATATATGTTCTACATATACAGTGTATATAAAGACAGATACACATATATAAGTATACAGTGTCGATTGTGTTAACTATAACACTTCAAAGTTTTCCTAATTCCTTGGGCAGTTAAGATGTACCAAACTTTTTAACTTATTAAACTCGACCAGATACTCTCCACTAAATTGGTGCAGAGACATAAATTTAATTAAAAACTTGCATGAAGTAAATTACACGCAAGTTTTGTATAAAATGAATGATAAATAATGTCATCAGTACTATAATCAGTAGAAGATAAGTTTACAAAAAAAAAAAAAATATATATATATATATATATATATATATAAGGCCTGAGCTTGCTACCATCTGCAGCTCATAAGACTGCCATCCCCACGAGCCCCTTTGAGGCGGGGTAGATGGCAGACCAGAGGCCTAGCTTCTCCCTACGAGCCCCGTGAGGGCGGGGAATGTGGCTAGGCCTGGGGACACTTGGTCCCAAAGATGAGGAGGTACTTGTACCTCCTCCCATGGGAGACTTAAGTCTCGAGACACTCCCCAGATAGGGAGCCAAGGCCGGGTCACCACTACTTGGAAAAGACCCGGGCCGGGAGAATACCGGCGAAAAAAAAAAAATGTGTGAAGACAGTCTTACCTTGTATATGTACTTGTAGAAATAAAGATACTATTATTATTATTATTATTATTATTATTATTACCTGTGGTATGATCCTAGTGCAGTCTTTCAGTGGAGGAGGACACTTTCCAGGGTGTTCTGCAGAAAAATAATGTTATTATTTTAGAGTAAGGAATCGCCTCGTCATGAGCAGTTTCTATACAATAAGACATTTTTAAGTATTATATCTTACAAGTTTGATAGCTGTAGTTAAAAGAATGAAAGTCATAACACTATGGCTGGAATATTTCAAAACTTACAAATAAATTATATTCAAAATGGCGCGGTAAACCCGTGTAGATCATACACTTCTGCATCACAAAGTGGATTATTATTATTATAATCAAAAAGAAGCGCTAAGCCACAAGGACTATACAGCGCTGCAGGGCAGGAAGGAAGCGAGGGCATCAGGTGGCAAAAGGGAGATGGATGAGCAACAGGTTACGGATAACAGCGGGGCAGTGGATGGTGAAAGGGTAAAGGGAAGATGAAATTAGACAATGTTTCACTTCATGCTCAACCATTATCAAGTCAAAAATCATTTTATAATGGGCGAGTCAAACTTACTTTCTTCTGGTTTTAAAGGAATAAATGGTGGAGAACAACAATAGTGAGCTCCTTTGTTAGGTCCTTCAGGCTTCGTGCAAAAGTAGTTGCAGCCAGAGTTTTTAGCTTGACCAATCACCATGGCAACCAACAGGGTCAACACCACAAAACGCAGCTGTTGACACATAAGGTCAGGTCACATACAAGTTAACAAAGAAGCAAATATATGTTAAGAATTCAAAAGGGTATGTTCCTGGCCTCGAGTATACAATTGTTATGATACAAACTAGAGAATGAGAGTAATACTCTGATCTAGTGAATGCAACAAATATTTTCAATATTTTCACAAACCATGATTGAGAAGAGGTGAGGCAGGAGCAGGTGAGGTGCTCAGGTGTGTGGCTTTCTGGTCAGCCTCATCCTCTTATATACCTGGCCATCCCCTCCCACTTTCCCCCTTACCGGGAGTGATTGTGAACTTTGTGTGTGAACTCACCTAATTGTGCTCGCACAGGTCGAGTTGCTTTGTCTACATGCATAAATGTCTATTGTATCTTAAAGGTATCTTTCATCTTTTCTTACAGTATTTGTACCCTATATCATTATATCTTATGTCACTACATTAGCCACCACTTTTTGACCAAATTTGCACTCATTATGGACCCTCTCGTTGTCTTCTCCGAGTGTAATTTAACATGTGCAAAAAAAGTGACTTAGTTTTTAGTGACATTTTCTTTGTATCGTGTCCACCCCGACACCTTACCATTATTCTGGTTTCTAGTCTCTAGGTAATCCTGTATTCACTTGAACACTTCCCCTGATAGTCCTACCATCTCGTCTAGCTTGTATAACAGCATCCTATGGTCTTGTATCAAGTGTTTTCCTACAGTCGAGGAAATTATCCATTCCTCTCTCTCCCTCTATCTGACTTTTTTGGGTTATCCTAGGTACCTTACATATATGCTGCTATTGTGGAAAATTGCATTTACTTGGATGTATCATTATATACATAACAGTAAATGAACATAGATAATTATTATTTATCAGTTAGACAAGTAGGAATTTGGGACACCTAGGTCGCAAAAAATGTCCCCCTTCGATACCTACAACTGTCATATCCACAAGTTGCTCTGGACCTATTAATTAAATGAAATATACATCACCAGGAATGCTGGTAATATAAATTTGTGGACTGTATATTAATTAAAAATGATTATATATAAATACACATTTATATAACAGAAGGAGAATATATCTTAATCATAACACTCACCAGTTTGACTGGAGATTAAGTTGTATCACACTCAGAAAACCTCACTGTCTATACATGAAAATAACAACTGGCCAGTTATAACATAACTGGCCAGGTATGTTATAACTGGTTCCTGGACAACTCCAGGTTCCTGGAGTTGTCTTGTCCAGTCGCCTGATACCTCAAGTTATGCAGGAATGCACATCCAACAATTTCGCCTCCCATTTGAGAGGTGTCAGCCCAATTTTAACCTCTAGAGCACGAAAATTCCTTCCCATTACACTAACGTTGTATCCAATTCAAAATAACAATGGCGACTCCTCCTGTCTGCGCAGGCGCAGGTCCAGTTTCCCATTTCCATAATATAATTCTTTTAAATACAGTATGGCCATCTATTTACATATAACTACTGTATTTCTGGAAAATATATACAGTATTTTCCACAGCTATGTAGGATAATCTATGTAACTGTATTTGTTATACCTGAATAAACTTACGGAGTCACCAGACTATGAGATTCGTGAGACAAGATGTACAATCTTTGATCCTCTACCGGTTACCGTATATCTTATATTATTTTTATTTTTTTTTTATTAGCACACTGGCCGATTCCCACCAAGGCAGGGTGGCCCGAAAAAGAAAAACTTTCACCATCATTCACTCCATCTCTTTATAGGTGCTCTACTAGCTGCTTTTCCATTAACTTGTCTGTACCTTAGCTTGCATGCTAGTCTGCAAAGAGTCTGTAACGTGGTTGTGGAAATTTTTTACATAATTTCCTAAACGTAAAACATATAAATAAATAATATAATAAATGTGTAATAAAATGTGATGTTATTTGTCCCTTTCGAGAAATTTCGAGTGGGGGGGGGGTAGTTGAGGTGCTGAGTGACGCCGAGGGGGGAGAGTCCATGTTGAATTTAATTGCGTAAGGACTGGTCGGAAATTTTGCACCAGGAATTCGGCGTTTTGCGAGGACTAATGGGGAGTATCGGCCTCATTCGTAATAGGAATTCGTGTTAATGCCTCCTGCTGAAGAATTGGGACAGGAAATTTGCGGAACCGTAAGAATTGTGTGTGGAAGATAGAATTAGAGTACATCCATCCCAACACACCTCAGCTAAGTGCCTGCCCATAATGTACAGTAGATTTTGCGTTGGCCATCGTAAATTCAAGCTGCCAGGGGTTAGGTTAGGGTGTGTTCCATCAGTATTAAGTGTCTTCCAGTAATACGTATATGGTAAGTGGTAATAAAAAGTTCTTTGTTAATAATAATAATTTATGTATAATAATTATATTGTGTAGCCAGCAAACCTAATTTCATACAGTCCACACAACAATGAACCAGAGTAATTGGTTTTAATACTGTAATTATTAATTTAATATCAGGTCTAGCTTTTGTGAAAAAGTGGGCAATCGAAGGAGTTGCAATTCTGTGGCCTACTGTGACTAGTTCCACTTACCTCACCCAAATTACGTTCAGGTAATGCCCTGTAAACCTCCTGCAGGTGATTGGAAAATAATAATAAATAATATTTTTTTCACACTGGTGTTTCCTATTTCCTTTCTTTTATACTGTGATCATATTTATAGTTTTCGAGCTGTGTCAGTTGTCTTGTTTCTTTGGATTTCTTGTACAGGTTAACTAGGGGGGGTTGTACAGCTTTTCTGTTAATTGCAGTATCCAAGGTGATCTGTCTGGTTCCACTGCCTCTCTATCATCTGATTTTCTTATGAGTCTTCTCACTTCCTTCTTTATAGGTGTAATTTCCTTCTTTATCGGTGTAATTTCATTCTTTATCGGTGTAATTTCCTGTACTAGATTCTATCGCTATCGTGTGTGTGTGTGTGTGTGTGTGTGTTTGTGTGTGTGTGTGTGTGTGTTAGTTACCATTTTGTCCTAGGCACATGTCGATTAGACACTAGGCCTGTTGTATATGAGTACGTCTGTGTGTGTGTGTGTGTGTGTGAACCAGAATGTACACTTCTAAGACAGTCAAGTTACTAGTTGTAGATTTCATCTTCATGTTTTAAGAAAGTTGTTAGATTTTCCAACAGTATGAGAATTGAAAGGACACATGTGCAACTATAGTCTCCATAGATACCAGTATGTCCTTTTTACCAAGTAATCTTCGTGACTTTTTTCTCTCGTGATCAGATTGAACCTTATTAAATAGTAATGAATTTTGCTTAATCTACCTGTTCCCAAGTCTGCAACTACACAGCTTCACATCTCTCCCCCAGGCCCCGTGGCCTGGTGGCTAAAGCTCTCGCTTCACACGGCGAGCGTCCGGGTTCGATTCCCGGCGAGGGTTGAAACATTGGGCGTGTTTCCTTACACCGGTTGTCTGTGTTCCCCATCAGTTAAAAAAAATAGGTACCTGGGTGTTAGTCGACTGGTGTGGGTCGCATCCAGGGACAAAACTGACCTAATTTGCCCGAAATGCTCTGCATAACATGGGGCTTTCCATATAGTAGTATGTAATTGTCAGCTATGGTCTGTGCCTTGTATATGTACTTGAAATATATTATTATTATTATTATTATTATTATTATTATTATTATTATTATTATTATTATTATTATTATTATTATTATTATTATTGGTTACTTGAGGATGGCAGTGAGCATCTCACTTGGTTAGAGGTAATTTTAACAATTTCATGTATCCAGTTTGGGCTCTGGAACCTTTGCAGATGTTGGTTCCTAACCCGGAATTGGTACACTAAAGGGTTAACTAAGAAATTTTGTGATAAGAGGTAATCGGGGGGAAAAAAAGTGAACATTTTTTATGATTAGGCTACCTACAGCAGCTGGGGGAAGTATAACATTAAGGCAAAAATATGAGATTAGGTAAGGTTCGTCAGGAAATAGGACAAGCGTTTTCTGACGCCGGTCTTAGTTATTTGATAACCCACAGCTGGAGCTTTTGGCCCACTGACCGAGGCCTACCACTGGCTTACTGGTCCACCCCTTTAAAAATTATGGTCATAGTTATAACCATTTAGTTACACAAATATATGAGAGCATTAAAAGCATAATCTATGTGTTCGTGACATGATAAAACCCACTGTGTGAGCAAAACATTCTCAATACAGGATCGCATCTTTTACCATTAATTACACACGAAGAAATCGTTGATGCAAAGATCAGAAGAAAATATTCTTCATCGATGTTCAAATTAATGAAGATTCATTAAAATGTTTTGTTTTTTTCTGTAAGTCTGGTGTCCAGTCTCGACCTTGTATGTGTGTTCACAGTTGTTATGCAACTGTTGCTATGCAACTGTGTGGCTCTGTTCACCTGTGTTATACTGCTGTGTGGCTCTGTTCACTTGTGTTATACTGCTGTGTGACTGTTCACCTGTTATACTGCTGTGTGGCTCTGTTCACCTGTGTTATACCGTGTGTATAACACTGTGTGGCTCTGTTCACTTGTGTTATACTGCTGTGTGGCTCTGTTCACCTGTGGTATACTGCTGTGTGACTGTTTACCTGTGTTATACTGCTGTGTGACTGTTCACCTGTGTTATACTGCTGTGTGGGGCTCTGTTCACCTGTGTCATACTGCTGTGTGGCTCTGTTCACCTGTGTCATACTACTGTGTGGCTCTGTTCATGTGTTACACTGCTGTGTGGCTCTGTTCACTTGTGTTATACTTCTGTGTCTCTCTGTTCACTTGTGTTATACTGCGGTGTGGTTCTGTTCACCTGTTATACTGCTGTGTGGCTCTGTTCACCTGTGTTATACTGCTGTGTGGCTCTGTTCACCTGTGTTATACCGTGTGTATAACACTGTGGCTCTGTTCATTTGTGTTATACTTCTGTGTGGCTCTGTTCATCTGTTATACTGCTGTGTGGCTCTGTTCACCTGTGTTATACTGCTGTGTGGCTCTGTTCACCTGTGTTATACTGCTGTGTGGCTCTGTTCACCTGTGTTATACTGTGTGGCTCTGTTCACCTGTGTTATACTGTTGTGTGGCTGTTCACCTATGTTATACTGCTGTGTGGCTCTGTTCACCTGTGGTATAATGCTTTGTGGCTCTGTTCACCTGTGTTATATACTGCTGTGTGGCTCTGTTCACCTGTGTTATATACTGCTGCATGGCTCTGTTCACCTGTTATATACTGCTGTGTGGCTCTGCTCACCTGTGTTATATACTGTTGTGTGGCTCTGTTTACCTACTGTTCACCTGTTATATACTGGTGTGTTTTCCTGTGTTATATAATGTTGTGTGAGCTCACCTGTTATACACAACTCTAGTTTTGTGATGGAGTGAATGATGATGAAAGTTTTTCTTTTTCGGGTTACCCTGCCTTGGTGGGAAACGGCCTGTGTTAACAAAAAATATGTATGTCTTAACGAATAGGTAAAACTTGCGATTTTGGCTTTAATAGCAACGCTCTTCTTGCCGAAAAGGCAAGCGAAAATTTGTGTATGCAATAATTTCGCAAAAATCATTCTGTAAACTTATCTAAAATCTACTTAGTTGGATTAGGCTAAATTAAATTGAGCTTGTTATAATAAGGTTAGGTAAGTTTTCTAAGGTTCTTATGGTACAAAATTATTAATTTTTACTTAAACATAAATGACAAAAATATGTCTTTAAACGTATAAGAGAAAATTTTAGAAAGGACTAAATTTTAAATGAGTTTTTGCTAATTGACCAGTTTTACCTATTCGGCACGACATATATATATATATATATTTGTTATGGTCACACCAGAAATCTGTTTCACGCTGATATATTTAATATCAATGAATATATGAGAATAAAACAGACGTTGAGAAAACAGTTTTATTGAACATAGAAATATCCTCTCCTTTACACACGAAACAGATGTTCATTATTAATAAACATTAAGAAAACAAGAGATAATACACAACAAGGGTCATTACAAGCGATAGGTCTATGATGGTCGCAGTCAGGTTAGGCCAGCAACCATTGGTACAGTCCATCTGGAGATGAGTCACAGATGTTTTTGTATTCAGTATGCAGGCTTGCAGGTATGTAGGTCAAGACAGGTGTCGAAGCAACACTTCTGGCCATAGGGACAGTGTCCATCATGTGGACAAATCTGTCAGGGAGAAATATAGTGCATAAGGTAAGATAGACTTTATTTAGGCTATAAGACAGGCCAAATTTAGGATAAATGCGGGTCGTTTTACAACCGTTATGATGTCTCCAGTGTACTGAGTACATAGTTGCTGTTGACATACATTTATGATAAATTATGAAAATGTATCCAAGAAATGGCCAGCCACTTATATATATATATATATATATATATATATATATATATATATATATATATATATATATATATATATATATATATATATATATATATATATATATATATATAGCTGTTAAAACAAATACAAAGACTTACCTTTGGTATAAATCCTCTGGTGCATTCCTTGAGCGGAGGTGGGCACCTACCAGGGTGTTCTGTAGAGAAGACAGTGAATTACTTCACCCGACGCTAAGGGTCATGATAGGTCAAGTTAACCTGGGATATATTAACAAAACCAACAACTAGTAGTGCTTATGTATTATCAAGGTCTTGCCCTTTGGATGCGACCCACATAGCCTTACTAATTCTCAGGTACCTATTTACTGCTGGGTAGCAAGTGTAAGGAGACTTGCTCCTACGCCTTACCCTGCCCTTGTATCGGATCCGAGACCGTTCGGTTGTAATCCGAATGCTCCCCACTTAGCTACTGGTCATTTTTAGTCTTCTAATTGCTCTCAAGGGCCTCTTGATCCAAGAAATTGGACCATGCCTTCCCTTCCTTGGACTGAACCCTATTGCAAGCCATTCCTTCAGCTACTGTAGGACTCCTAAACATATTGGCCTAGAACGCGTCCCCCCGTTATGGATGCAGTAATTACGTTACATGTTTTATGTGTAAGTAAAATGCAGGTTTGATACTACGTAACCACTTGGAGAGCATTATGAAACACGGTATGACCCAGGCCAGGATACATAGATTCCCAGTTCGAGGCCATGTATATGAAATTTTTTTTTTTTTTTTTGCCGATTATTAACCTGCAGTGAGAGCATCCCAAGAAAGCCAATCATTGTGGCTTATTTCCACTTGGGTCCTTTGGTTCTTTTCCCTATGATATTTCCTACAACAGTCGACTAACACCCAATGCCCTACTTATTCTACCAGTCCCAGGATCGAACCCGTGTCCTTTGCTTGTCAGTCATCCATGTTAAAAAGCATAATGATATTGTTTTTTGTTTTTGTTAAATACTGGCTTTTCTATCATTTATTTTCGCGTCACTGTGATATTATCAGGAGGAAACAGATATTTCTAACCCGTGTTTCCCATTCCTGTCTGCGTGATTTACTCAGTGTTGCAATACTCACTCTGTTCTGGAAGCAGTGGAACGTGAGGTGGACTACAGCAGTAGCTGGCGCCCTTGTTGGGCCCTTCTGGTTTAATACAGTAGTAGCTGCATCCTGGAGCAGGTTTAGGCCTGAAGGGAGGACTCAAGCCAACCACAACCACCACTACCATAGCCAATACCACAAGACGAAGCTGTTGATATACGAGGTCATGTTAGGTCAGGTCACACGGACCAGATAATATCTAAGATCAGCTCAAGTCACATTACTCAAGCCATCTTCATAGTGTTGTAATTAATGATGGTAATCTTCCGTCATATTATGATCTTTGCCTCGGATAGATATAATTACAAATATTTAAAAAAATATATTGATAAATGCTTATGTAAAACCTTAAATTGTATATTTGTATGTCTTTATATTATAGAAGGAAACCCCACATATTGACCAAAACAGGAGAGTAGCTGATCCGTATGTTTCGATTTTGGTCTGAGATCCTCATTACAGGTCTCAGACCGATATCGATACATACGGATCACTTGCTCATATATTATATCCACAAGTGGGTTCCCAATATCTCTGGTGCCGACCGTCACCCTCCTGCGTGACGGCCGACACCAG